ACACACTGGAGGGTAGGATCCATGCTGCTTAGCTCATGTCCCATCTCATTTAGGCTGAGCTGGCTCATCTGACCCTAATGATGACTCTGTGAGATAGATGGCAGGGGTTGTTGTTGCTATTTAGTTGCTGAGTCGTGTCTGACTCTTTGCTATCCTGTAGCCCGCCAGGCTTCTCTGTCCATGGAATTTCCCAGGAAGGAAGACTGAAATGGATTGCCATTTCTTTCTCCAGGGGATCTTCCCAACCCAGGGATCGAACCTGTGTGTCCTGCATCTCCTGCATTGGCAGGCGGGTTCTTAGTACTGAGCAGCCTAGGAGGCTGAATAGCAAGGGTACATCTCCCCACTTTGCAGGTTGGGAGATGTGGCCCAGGGAAGTGAGGGACTTGCCCTGTATCACCTCCCTGCTCAGAGTGGAATCAGATTCAGTGCACTTCTGCCTGCACCAGAGCCTGTTCGCGGGATCCAGCCTCCGTGGAGCTGAGGTGCCCAGCCTTCGTGGGATGGGGACTCCCATAAGAGGCAGCTGGGCCGGAACCTTGTGCATGTCACAACAAGGGGCCCACATGTGCGCCTCCTTCCCCACCCTGGTTGGAGCCAGAAGAACTGCCCTGTTCCCCACAGATAGCACTTCTGTTCAATCCGGCCTATTTTCTATCTTCCTCGGTTTGACTGGCTCCAGCAATGCTCGCTTCCTTGTGTCAGACACAAAATGTAGCCCTGTTGCAACCCAAGATGTAGAATAACTTTTCTTGTAAGTGAATCATAAAATGCACTTTCTTTGTCAAAATTTCCTACCAGGCCTGCTGGCTCAACAGGAGATGTAAGATGCTGCGAGAACAGTTGTCTGTCATATGCCATTGTGGTGACTCATTGTATCTGAGGGCTCATGACTGAGGTATGAAGCAGAACTAAGTTTAGTGCAGTTTTACTGTTTTCAGGGGGAATGGTGATGACAAAGCAGAGATCTTTTTCAGCTTACAGAAAGCCCTGGACTTAATGGCTTAGACTTACATATCTCAAAATTTTCATTTTATTTTAAGGAGCAAGAGGATGAAAACCAAGAAAATAGCAGAGCAAGTTGTTGTTAGGTAGTGATCAAAAAGAAAATATCAAATGATTTTAACAAAAATAAATGACCATGCGTTTAACAAAAGGTGAAAATTCAAAACAGGAGGAATGTTTGTGATAAGCATGTCAGATTGATGTAAAAAGTGTAAGCAGATCTATAAGAAAGATTCATGATCCTAATAAGTAATAGTAGAAGGTGTCCATACATCATTCATAAATGAGAAAACACAATTAGACAAACACAGGAAAGGTTCCTCCTAGCCAACAGAGAAGTGCAAATAAAAGGAGATAGCACATTTTTCTTTATTAAATGAGAGAAATTTTTTTAACTGATAAATCTGGTGTTAAAAAGGATGAAAACATAAATATGCTTATCCATTGACCAAGTGGCTATAAAATAGTACTAACTTGTCAGAAATCATTTTGACAGTGGGTATTGAATAGCCTTTAAAATGATCCTTTTTTCCTGAACTAGTATTTCTAGGTCTAAGAATTCAAAAACGAAAGTCTAAGAATGGAAAACCATTATGCACAAATACACTTATAGCAATGTTATTTATATATCAAATTGGGAAACATGTTTAGATGCTGGGGAAAGGCTAAGTAAACTGCAGCATGTCTTGTCATTAGAACAGTAGGAGGATATAACAATTTGGAAAATGTAGATTAAGTAAAAAGTAGGATGCAAAATTTTAATCCAATTTTATTTTTTAAAAAACAATGTATAAGAGCCAGGGAAGAGTTGAAATTTAAGTCCACGCAAAAGCCTGCCCATGGATGTGGCTAGCAGCTGTTTATTCATAATCTCCAAAACTTGGGAGCAACAAAGATGTCTTTCAGTAGATAAATGAATAAATAAACTCTGGTACATTCAAACAATGGAATATTATTTGACATTAAAGAGAAATGAGCTATCAAGCTATGAAAAGACATGGAGGAAACTTAAATGCATATTTCTAAGTGAGTGAAGCGAATCTGGAAAGGTTCAGACATTGTATGGTGTTCTGGAAGAGGCAAAGCTATGAAGATAGATAGTAAAGAGTGGTTGCCAGAGATGGGGGAGAGGGATGACTAGGTGGGGCACAGAGGAATTTGAGGGCATGGAAACTATTCTGTACCTTATTCTAGTAATGGATACATTATAAATTTGTCCAAACCCGTAGAATGTACACCACCAAGAGTGAACCCTAATTGAACAGTGACCTTTGGGTGATAATGATGTGTCAAAGTAGTTTCATTAATTATCACAAATATACCATTCTGGTGGAAGAAGTTCATAATGTGGCTGGGCAGTGGTCTGTCTGAAATCTCTGTACCTTTTGCTTGGTTTTGTTGTGAACATAGAACTGCTCAAAAAAATAAGGTCAAAAAAAGAAATAAAACACAGAAGAGAAAAAAGACTGGAAATATTTACAAAGGTTACGATAGACTTATTATTTTTGTTTTCATGTCTGTAATTACCATTTTAAAACATGAACATGCCTTAATTTATAATGGAAAGAAAAAAAACATTTCAAGAGTTGAAGATGCTAGGAAATGAAGTTGTACATGTGGTTGTGTATTTAAACAATCCTGAGGGTTTCTCATCCCTTTTTCCCTCTTAGTGGCCAGAGTTTTGTAAACACACATTCCTTTTGGCTATTTGTGAGTTTACACAGTTGACCTTATACTTAAAGGCATGGTCAGCTAGAGTTTCTGTTCCCAATAAAAATAAGCTATCTTTGGGGACTCTTGGTGTGAACTATATTCTTAGAAATTTCCCCACTAGTCACTGTATGACTCAGTCTTTGTTATTTTAAAACTCAAGGACTGTATTAGAATAGTCTATTTTCTTTTATTAAATGTATATATATTTAGATAGATAGATATTTGTGTTTAATTTACTGTTTTTCAAAGATTATACAATCACATGTGTGCGTGCTAAGTCGCTTCAGTTGTGTCTGACTCTTTGCAACCCTATGAACTGTAGCTCACCTGGCTTCTCTGTCCATGGGATTCTCCAGGCAAGAATACTGGAGTAGATTGCCATGCCTTTCTCCAGGGGCTTTTCCCAACCCAGGGATCAAACCCGCCTCGCTTATGTCTCCTGCATTGTCAGGGGGGTTCTTTACCACTAGTGCCACCTGGGAAGCCCCTATACAATCACATGGTTTAATAATTTAAATTTAAAAGTGAAATAATTAATTGAAAAAATATATGTGCAGTGATAATTCTCTCTGTCCAGTCTTCTATCTCGTTAGTTCCTCAGCACCCACATTCTAAGGAATACTTTTTAAATTCTTTAATGGATATTTCCAAAGTGAATATTTCCGAAGTTTCCCTATGCTTGTGTACATAAATACTAAGATATGTCATTTTCTCCTTTTTTTATACAAAAAATGACACATTTTACACATTGTCCAACACCTAGCCTTTTCACTTAATAATGGTTCTTTCCTTATCCTGGTATAAATTGTTCCTCATTCCAGTTTCAAAGGACCCTTTGTGTGCACTTATGGATTCACCATGATTTCCTTAACCAGTCCCATGCTGGTGGACAGTTAGGCTGTTTCTAATCTATTGCTGTTACCAATAGCACTATAATGACTTATATGTACCTACTGTACCCATGCAAGAATATCCACACAATAAATTCTCAGAAGTGAACCTGCCAGGCCATAGAGTATAAACCTTTGTAATTCTGATAGCCCTGTGATCCTGATTGCTGAATTATTCTGCATCAGGAAGGGTTTCCACTTGTACCCCCAATACTTCTGAGTGCCTGACTCCTCACACCCTTGCCAAAAGAGTGCTTTGCCATAAGTTTGATTGTTGCCATTCTGATGTGTGCAGAAAGAAAGTGCAGTACATTTTTATTTGGATTCCTTTTTCTTGAGAAAGTTTTAGCACATTTTCCTAGGTATGAGCCTTTCCTCTTGGGTGAAAACTGTTTACCACCTTCATTCATTTTGGTTATTGGGTCATATTTTAATGGATTTCTAGAAGTCCTGTGTATCATGGAGATAGCCTCTCTTGGTAACTGTACTTCTGGCCGATTATGTGTCTGAGGACAAGAGAGGTACTCTCCTCTGGGTTGCAGGAGCCAGTAGGATGCATTTGAAAGAAGACTGATGGCCATTCAAGAAAGTGTGTGAACTCTACACGCAGGTAGCATTGACAGCAAGTTTCACATCAGGCCAGTCTGGGTGTGCAGTTTTTGTGTTGTGTGCTTACAGTGTCGCTTAGGGCAAGTCACTTGGCATCTTTGAGTCTTGGTATTCTTACCTGTAATATAAGGCTTACCCATTACTTTGGGTTATAATGGATAACACATAGGATATGATACTACAGTGATTGTATAAGTAACTACCCAGATAACTGAAAACACTCACCACACTCCTGAGGATCATTTCAGCCTCTACCTTATAGGTGAATGTACAGCAGGAGGATAAGGTATGACCAATCATGGTGGACTCTGGGGGCTCCCAGCTGCAGTTCCCCAGGGTCCTTTCTCCCTTGCACAGGGGCTGCTCTGTCTCTGGATTGTGAACTACAAAGACATGTGCAAGGAACACTGGTGTTAGGGGAGCTCAAGAAGTTTTTAGTGATATCTTAATACCCTACTGGTGATATAGCCAAGCCAGACTGAGTAAACCCATTAACTATGTGTAAACCAATAATCTATACATCACCAATGTAAGCAAGCTGGCCCTGGGTCTCTCCAGATTTTGGAATGTTACACAGCAGAGTATATATTCCTAACCAGCTCATCTCATCATCCTTAGCCAAGGGTCAGTACCAGACATCCTTAGGGATAAGCACAGAGCCATCTCATTTCAGCTCTAAAAAATCCTACCTTACATAGGTTCATCTGGGTTCTCAGAAACTGTTGCTCCCTTTCCTTGGAACAAACCTGCCTTTGCCTTCACCGGGACCTTTTTCTTCTGCAGCTCAGGGGAGACTGTCACCAGCGTGACCAGCTTGGCCCCTCTGCAGCCCAAGAAGGGCAAGAGGCGGAAGGAGAAAGTTGATGTTCCTCCCGCAGTTCCTGCCAAAGGTAGGAAACTAGCCAGTGGTCACCCCCGTGGAGAGCAGAGCCCCTGGGGTCTGATGTGAGTTTAGGACAGGAGAGAGCCAGATGGAGGATGTGACATTCCTGGTTACATGGTCTGGAAAACTCCACTTAGACTCTGATCATATCTGAGCCCTGTCCCTGAGGTGGGCTGAGGGGGGTGTGGGGCCATTGGCCACACACCTCTACAGATGATTCTAAAGTGTATTTCCCTCTGAACTACTAACATAATCTGTGCAAAGCAGGATGGGGCAAAAGGGTGTCTGTTCATTTAAGGGAAAAAGTTTCTCTGATTTTTCTAAGGATGAAAAACAGGTGTGTAACTTACTTTGGATTTGTTCTAGGGATAAAATGAGGGTTATTCCTTGATTCCAAGGAATTATGACAGAGAAACATAAATGAGGAAGATGGGCATTTCCTGAGGCAAGAACTAAAGGTGTCTTTAAATAGCTCCTCAAATAACTGTGGCTGACTTAGGTCATACCTCAAAGGTTTTGATATATAGTTGGGAATACAAGGGTTTTCCCGATGAATAATTTAATAACAAGACAAGATCCATTATATTCCTCAACTGGGAGTTTCTAGGATGTCCCCTAAGCACCCTTGGAGCCCTGTGGTAGAAGGCAGTGGTGCTGAGTCTGAACATATATCAGGTGGACGGAAGAGGCTGGGAGTCATGGGTGTCCTGGGAGGCATGACATGTGTGGATCTGGGGAGGGAAGGGGGTGGTCCCTGCTCTGGGTTGGGCAGTGTACTGTTGTAGCGTCTCATTCAATCAGAGTAGACAGTGCCCTGTCTAACAAAAGACGAAAATGAGACTCAGAGAACCACGTGGTAGAGCCTGACTCTGGGTTCAAGCCCCAAATCATTTAATACTAGTTAGTTAAGCAGGAGGAGCCTCGGTTTCCTCCTCCTTTAAATGGGGACAATAAGACCCTCCCTAATGACCGCACAGGGTGGCTGTGAGGGTCAGAAGTCACCACCATCAGGGTTAGTGTGCAGCTAGGAGGAAGCCCCAGGGAAAGTTCCAGCCTCAGCCTTAACCAAGTGTACCTGTTTCTCACCTGCACTGACCTCTTTGTAGCTGGTGGTGTTTTGTCGACCTTGTTGAGGAGAGAGGGTGACATGTCCAAAGGCTAAGAGGGGATCACCATTCCCCGAAGGGCACCAGTGCAACTGTTACCTGGATCAGAAACTGAAGTTCTTCCATGAAGGCAGGAAGGGGCCCGTAAGACTGTGTTTGTGGTGCTCATGGTAATGTGGACTTTAAGGGTCCTGGAAGGAATTGCAAACTAAACCCTTGACGTGTTTCTACAGCTCCCATTGCCACCACGTTCCATAAACCGAAGCTGTTAAAGCCACAAAGGAAAGTCACCCTGGTGAGTAACCACATTCTCTGTGCTGTCCCCTCAAGCCCTAAACACACTCTGGTCCAAGGAGTACCTTTATTGACTCAAAACATGCTCCAAGTTCTTGGTGCTTCGTCCAAGCAAAGCCGTTCTCTCTTCTTGGGTCAGCTTTCGAGCCAATTTTTCTCCATACCTAGTTCCCAGAGTGGCTTTTTAAAAATCCACATAGGATTGCTTTTTATCATCCATGCTCCTTTTTGAAAAGAAGGAAAAAAAATCACACTCTGGAATGTTTAAAATATAAAGTGGACCAACTTGTATACATTTGTCTTGATAACCACTCTGAAGAGACTGCAAAAGAACTTCCAGAATATATGTTGTACTTTTTACTTTGAAATACTTTTTAGATTTACAAAAGCGTTAGAAAGATGATACAGAAAGTTCCTGTCTACTCTACGCCCAGCTTTTCCTAAGGTTAACATCTCACAAAGCTGTGGTGTATTTGTCAAAACTAAGAATTTAGCTTCAGCATATTACCATTAGCTGCACTCCAGATTCGGGTCAGATTTCAGCAGTTTTTCCATGAATGTTCTTTTTCTGGTGCAGGATCCCATCCAGGCTAGCACATGGATTTCATGGTCCTGTCTCCTTAACCTCTTCCAATCAGTGCCTCAATTCTATGGCCTCGACACTTTTAAAGAGTAGTAGCTACATTTTTTAGAATGTCCCTTGCTTTGGGTTTCTCTGAGGTTTTTCAGTGATTAGAAATGAGGTTATGGATTTGAGGGAAGAGCAACACAGAAGAGATATGCCTTTCTCATTGCGTCCCATGGAGGGGACCTGCTGTGACACTCATCTTGACCACTTAGTGAGGGTGAGTCTGCCAGACTTCTTCATATAAAATCACTACTTTTTCCTCTCCGTCCTCTATTTGTTAGAATTCAATCACTAAGTCCAGGTCACACTCAAGGGGAGTAGAGTGAAGCTGCACCTCCTGAAGGGAGGGGTATCAAAGACTTTGCGGACACATGAAAACCACCACAGTAATAGGTATTTCAGGGGAGATACATCAGCCTATGCAAATAGTGTGTTTTTCCTTGAACTTTCATCTGCTTATTTTAGTGTTCATCTGTGGGTTTTGCTTGTAGCACTTATTACTATGGTGAATTAATGGTGATTTTCTGTTTTCCTCAACCCATCTCTGTTTACTACTAAAAATTCTTCCATAAGCAAGAGCTGGCTCCCTTCTCTCATTGATTTATTCACTAATTTCTCTACATCAGTGTGCATACATGGAGATCTAATTTCTTTTAAATGTGTACTTGTATTGTTATTCATTTTGTTGCTAATTTTGTTCAGCAGTTATATATTTGTGTGAGAAAGAGAGAGAGAAACAGAAAAAAAGAGGGAGAGAGAGGCAGAGAAACTCGCAAGCCTATTCTAAAATGTGTATGTATTGCAAAGGAAAAGAACAGAAGAGTGGAGTGTTTTTATATGACAGTTCACAAAATTTACATCAAAACCACAGTAATTAAGCCATGTAGTAAGTAACTGGGCTTCCCTGGTGGCTGAGACAGTAAAGAATTTGCCTGCAATGCAGGAGACCCAGGTTCAATCCCTGGGTCAGGAAGATGCCCTGGGGGAAGACATGGCAGCCCACTCCAGTATTCTCACCTAGAGAATTCCATGGATAGAGGAGCCTGGCGTGCTACAGTCCATGCGGTCACAAAGGGCTGGACACGACTGAGCGGCTAACACTTTTACTTCGCTTTCAAGTAATGGTATTAGCACAAGAATAGACATATAAACCAAAAGAACATAATAAAGAGCCCCAAACATATCTGCATATGTATTGTCACTTGATTTTATGACAAAAGTGACATTGCAGTGCAGTGAAGAAGGGATTATCTTTTCCGTATGTGGTGATTATCTTTTCCATATGTGGTACCGTAAATATGTGGTACTTCACACCACACAAAAAATTAATTAGTATGAAAGGTAAAAATAAAACTTTCTAAGCATAGTGTATCTACGCAAGGTCAGGGCAAGCAAAGATTTTCAAATCTGTAATGTTGCGAGCTTGATGGTTGCAGTCAGAACCTGTGTCCTTCTGATCCAGAGCATAAGGTTTTAACCAGCTTATTCAAAGCTTTGTCTCAGAGGGAAACCTGGATCTCTATGCATGACTGACATCTCCTGGCTCAGCCTTACTCATGACCTATTCTGTGCCCAGGTTACCTGCTGTTCCTCTGGGCAGTATGGCTCCTCTGTTTTCCAAGAGAGAACCTCCTTTCCCCTGCAATGAATTGTGGGTTCTGTTTTCATGCAGTGTGATTCCATCTGGTTCATGTCATCAAAAATTCCTCACCATTTCTGCTCTATTGATTATACCAGTTTTGTCCTCAAATACAGCAGCAAAGGTTTTGCTAATTTCAATAGACCTATGGTCATTCAGTGGACTTTGGGAAGCTCAGTTGAACACAGAGGCTGAAATGATCAACTTTTCTTAGAGCATCATGCATCCTACCCATGAGAATCAGACTCCCCCGATAGTCTGAGCTCAGTCTCCCAGCTGTGCATACCACTGCACATTTGTGTAGGTGTGGGTGCATCTTTTCCAGATCTTTTATTCCTAATCCTGGTATTTATTAACAACCTCAAGACTGATTATACTTTTGTAAATTTTCCCCATTTTACATTCTAAGTTGCTCAGGGCCTGTTGTTTCTAATCTAATCTCTTACCCCTTGTAAAAACAGAAACTGCTCTTTATTGATGTTCCAATGATACATCCCAGGGATATATAAGAAAAAGTGCTTTTTTGCATGTCATCATATTTAATTCTCACAGTAAGTTCCCCCATTCCTAGAGTTGCCTGTGAGGACACTCAAACACTCTGCTTAAGGAAAGTGGGTTCTTAAAACCCACAGTGGGTAGCGTTGCATCTCTCATGAAGAAAGGGCTGCTCCCCCAGAGGATGGAGCAATGTCAGCAGCCTTGAATGGGCAACACAATGCTGCCTCCTTCAGCAGTTTGGGGCCACTTATAAATGAAGTAGATTCAGTAGCATTTAAAAAAATAACTGGTCCCAATCACACATTTTTTTGTTGTGGACTTTTTTTGGGGGGCTTGTTAAAACCCCCTTCACACCTAAATTGGCCCCACATGAGTTTTTTTTTTTTTACTTTTCATCAAATTTTATTTTTTTAATTAATTTATTTTAATTGGAGAATAATTATTTTGTAATATTGTGATGTTTTTACCATACATCAACATGAATTGGCCACAGGTATACATGTGTCCCCTGCATCTTGAACCTCCCTCCTACCTCCTTCCCGATGTTATGGACTTTTTGTTTGTTTGAGCTGTTGTGCTCCTCTGGGACAGAGATCCAACAGAGGAAATTCTTGATTTGCACAGAAAGTAAGTCAGGGCACTTATATGCAGTTCAAAATGGATTCTTTGTTTTATGGAAATATCCACAATGCAGTTATTAAATACCAATTTTCCTGTCCTTTGATCATTTAAAATATGAAAAGACTTAAAATGTTTTAAACCAGATTTTCCAGAAATGAGTCAATTTGAAAACCAGTTTTCATCTACAACAATACACAATAAAGGAAAGACCTGACTCTGAGTGTACCTCTGCCTGATCAGCAGTTTAGAGTCAAAAATACCAGGCCTAGTGTCTACAGGTTTTGGTTAATATTAAGATTTATTTTCCCAGTAGGCCAGCATTGACCTCAGTCTCAATTTGGTCGATATTTATCTCTCAGATCAATAAGTCTTGATGGCAGCTGAAACTACAGTCAATAGCTACCTGTTGACTCACACAGGCCTTGGTGGGTAATTTAGAAAATAATTAAAAAACATCTTTTCTTTGGGATCTGGTACTAGTTTAGGTGTTTAATTCTATAATTGCTGCATTTTGCCACAAGTCCATAATACAGTGCTTCCTAAAGTGGTCACAGGCCACAGAGTTCTCCAGCCCCCCAGCCCCTCTTTCCAGAGTGATGTTGACACATGCTCATCCCAAGAAAGCAACCTGCCCATTGCCTCCACTGACTCATTGGCAAGAAGGAAGAACCTCCATTTATTGAGCATTTACTATGTGTCAGCTCCTCTGTTAGGTGCTTTGCAGGCTCCATCTCCCTCATCTCAACCACACATGCCGACTCCCAGCAGATCCTCGGACTCCAGGCAAAAATGACAGGCCTGGGTCCTTGCATTTTCACCCTCGAAGCATAACATCTTTTCTTATGTTTCCAAGATAACATGGCATTTTGCAGGAAGTATATATACCAGAGACTAATAGTGGTTTGAAAGAAAAAAATGATAGGACTTGAGAAGAAAAAAGAGGTGAGAAAGGCATTTTAGATGTTTTATAATTGAAGTGTCAAACTGCCTTCCCCTATTTTAACAAAACAACCAAACACAACAACCTGTTCTCAAAATTAGCTTATGAAGCCATGCCTATCACCAAGGGTCTTTCTGATGGACAGTGTGTTCCCTTTGTCTAACAACCTGGAATGCTGACAATGAATCATTATTCCAAAATATCAGTGGTTCTTCATCCTTAGGGGGCCAGGATGCATTTTCTCAAAACTCAAAATGTGTAGTTTTCCTTCCAGTTGGTGGTGGGGGCATGGGTACTAGGTCAAAGACTCCCAGAGGCCTTCAGGGGACCCCTGTTTCCTCCCCATGGTTTTGGGGTCCCTGAACCCACTGAGATAATTCGCACACTTCCAGAAAAGGCTGATGTTGCTTCCTTGTCTCAGAAGAAACAGAATATGTTTGATTTCTTTTTCTTGCCCTGGGTCCCTTATTGATTCAGAGACCTCGTGGAGGAAGAGAAAACAGTTTCTGTGATGGGGAGGCGAGACCTCACAGGGACTGTGAGCCGGAGGGTCGAGTTGGTAGCATCCCCAGACCGACTCACAGAGGATGCAGGCCCGTGGGCTCCTTCTGCCGCAGGGTCACGCCTCCTCACTGAGGCTGCCTCAGTGTATTACCTCTGTTTCCTGTCTCTCTA